AATAAAAAATACAATAAAAAAAAACATGCAAGCCATTTCAGAAAAAGTTCGATTTCTATCGTTATAAATTTTCCACAGGATGTTTTTGTTTTGCAAATGTTTATTTTTTTCACGAAGAAATAGATAATAGCAAAACTATAGAGGAATTCAAAAAAAAAACACTGAAAAAGTCAAAGGATTACGGTAACTTGAGGGTTCCTCGTTTTGACTCACTACAGTAGCTCTGTAAGAGCTTCCACATCAAATTATTCCAGAAGAGAATACATTCAAAGAAATGATGACGTTCACCTCACGAATTGAATTCAAGGCTATTGTGTTTTTGTTCTACGTTTTTTCTTTTTCCTCTGAGGGAAAAGAAAAACAACAAGGAATTGATAAACGATGAATGAGTTATCGAGATGTTTTAGAATCCTCTAATATGAATGAAATGTTTTCGTTCACTTAAAAAATAGAAAGAGGAAAAGAGGTAAGAGGTAAGAGGCGAATGAATTATAGTAATTTTTTAAAAATTCACTTTTCATGAATTTGAATAAGAGAATCGAACAATTAAAATTGAGGTTAACAGTGAGGTCGATGAAGGAGCGGTTTGATGTCACTCATTTTTACTATTCCATTAAAATGCAGTAGTTTTCTTCGATGTAATCGATCGTTTTTTTCCTTTCATACCAGTCATATTGATAGATATTATAAATGATTTCGTTGAATTTTTATTATATAATAAAAATTATTGTTGAGAATTTTTTTTTGTGAACTTAAACGAATTGACCTCTGAACTGAGTTTAAAGATCAATACGTTCGTTCGTAAAATGAAAAATATCGCATTTGTTTTTTTTTCCTTACAAAGAACATATTGATTGACAAAGATCATATTGATTGACAAAGATCATATTGATTGATTGATTCTACCAATCAAAATTATGTGACTAAAAGTTAATCTCAACCTCCAAATATCGATTATATCGATTATATCGATTAGATTTTTTCCCTCAAGAATAAAACTAGCCAAAGTAGTTAATACGTACATAGTAATAACACTAATAACTCTATATGAAATTTATAATGAAATAATTTTTAGGAATTATGAAAAAATGAAAAAAAAATATAATGGGAAAAAAAATGAAACCATTCGATCGATACGCATACTTTACATAGCGCTCGATAAATGAATGCTACTATCATATTATCATTTAGTTTATTTTTTCTTTGAAATTATCTTCACTAAAAAATGTTAGACATGAAAAATCAATAAAAATTTTGTGCTTATTAAAATGTCGTAATTTCAGTGATGACGAAAAAAAAAATGCATTGATATGGTGACTCATCTTCTATTTAAAAAACAATTATGAATAAATTTTATTTAGGAAAAAAAAACGAAACAAGGACGAATCTTTTTCGAGCTTTATTTATTTACGTGATGATGAAGCTTAAACTTACTAAACAAAACAAAAAAAAAACATTACTAAAGTTTCTTTTATAAACATTCACTCCTAACATTCACTATAGAGGCTTTATGGGAATGAGGTGAATGAGTTAAATGAGGTAGCTCAGAATATTTTGTGATAGTTGACAGATTGTTGTTTTCAAACTCATCGTTTACATGCTCTTTATTCTTATCACCAGTATTTATTTATTCAAATAAAAAGATATGCTTAATCACATCTACCAATCGAAGAGTTTTCTTTTTTTTTGTTTTCTTTCTAGCTCTTATTTGTTTTTTGTTTATTTATGGATTCATACGTTTCGTGTTATCGAATGAGTGACAAGGATCGAAAAGAACTTCAGCTTTTTTCCGAATGTAAACGATATGGAACGATCAAAATAAGGTGATAAGATGAAATTTGTATAAAATGAGGAACATTCCTCACCTGATGATGTTGGCATATCTTCTGGATGAATAACAAGTTCACGTAATAAAATGTATAGAATATGCTTAGGTAAATCACCGGAAGACTATTATATATGGAGACATTGAGATACGCAGACATTTCACCTCACTACTATCTAAAATAATAACACGAAAAGCTTCATCAAAACAAAACTCTCAAATCGTAACCTAATGATATTTACAAAATACCCTGAGGTGCATATTGGCTTAATGTATATGACAACAATTTGAGGGTTTCGTTTACGTTTCTTCGGCAACATAAGCGATTATTCATTGCATAAACGATCAAATGTACCTCATTTTGTATTGATTAGTTCGTTTGATCTGTATATGACAACAATTTGAGGGCAACAAAATCAATAATAATACCTCATCTCACACAGGTCAATATCGATAAGCTTAGAGAGTTTTAATTTTCATCAATGAAAGCAAATTTATTCTATCCTCATTAGTAGCATCAAAATCAACAGCGCGTAAAAATTACGACGTTTTTTTTTGTACTGAAAAAATCTCTGATGCTTATCTTATTGTTGTACCTCACATATCAATAAGTGCAAATTTTTATAAGAAATAATCAAAAATTAGTTAGAGTAAAATATTTGCATCGAATTTATCACTCATGAACCTCACTCAAGTATTCATGTAATAATTTTCGTATATTTCAACCTCTTGAAGGAAGCATTAATTTCAAATGATTAATGAAAATGTTTTACTTTTAAATTAGATCAAATAACTAATCAATACAAAATTTATTAATCAATACTTTCAACCCTCTCTTGTTAACCTCACACAGTTTACTATTACTCATACCTTCAATTACGTCAATAATATTTACTTCATGAGAAAAAAAAAGCAGTTGTGGATACAACCCGTACAACTGAAGTTGTCGAGCATCGCCTCCGACCAGGAACTGATTCAGGACGTGTTAGTTCTCTACTTATTGCTCTTTCTGAGTACGATATATCGGTGAGGTTGAAGCTCGATTTCACTAGACCCAACCTTTAATTGCTCCTTGGACCACTTATATAAGATTCTATCGTTGAAATCACTTTGTCCCCGTAGAATTGACTGATCAGTTTGATACAATGATGGACATAGTGAAGTCGAGCCTCATATTACCCTCCGGCAGTGTCACTAAACTATTGATAATGTTAAATTCGACGTCCTCTTCCTAGTACTTTTTAGATTATTGCTATTATAATCAGCATCAGCATTAGTCATTTATGTTGTTTTGCAAAAAGTGAGAGCATTCCTAGAAGTCCTGAACAGATGTAGAACATTCATCGAGCGGACCGGATGTTGACGTTAGCCATCTCCTTCATCCAAGAAACAACCGTATTTCTTGTCAGACGTAGAAATCCTGGATGTCTTATCATATATCACTCTACTACACATACATCCTCATTCTGCAGAAGGATTCAAGCCTGGAGTTCTCTGAGACAGTAGATCATTTTTAGGCGGGAAGATGTAGTTCTTTAGTTGTTTACTTTGTTGTTTTGTTGTTATTTATTCTACAAAATAATGGCAGCATGTCAAAACGACCATTGTTATTTTACAATTAGAAATATTTTTATTACCACATACAACTGGACTAATATATTTATAAAAAGAGTCATAGAGAGTTAAAAATTTTCCAAGAACTCATGAGTTTTCTATCAAGGAGGTGCTATAACTTTTATACATCGAACGAATTCTAATAAACATATGATATTATTATTTTAATCGTACATAAAAAAACCGTAATATGATAGTTTTGATAGAACAGAAGGAAAAAAACCGGGATATAAAGCCTTTAGTAGAACAGAGGAAAAGATTGATATCACAGCAAAACCGATGGAAAACGTGAGGATAATGAGGTTCACGTAGATT